CAACATTTTATGTTTATATATCACATTACAACTGTGCACTGTACTATAAAGTATTTGTAAAGCAGGGATCTGCACAACGATTTCATTACAATTGTACATTGTACTATAAAGTATTTGTAAAGCAGGGATCTACACAACGATTTTATTACAACTGTGCACTGTACTATAAAGTATTTTCAAAGCAAGGATCTACACAACGATTTTTGTTGGAAGGAAATGGTAGAGTTAAACTTTTAAAATACTAATGCTACAAGTTATCAGTACTGTATTTGTCACCACCGCGTAAATTAACCTATTTATTCTAGACAACCATGTGTATTAATACATCTTGTATTTTTCATTAAGTTAGTTTCCCTTATATATTAATACACGTGTTGTATTTGATAAATAATTTTCAGACTAAGCTTCTCATTTTATTTGTGTATGATTTTCACTATACTTAATCACATAAGCTGTTTTGAATTAACAAGGTGAAGTGAACACGTAATATTTTACCATGGTCAGAACACGTAATGTATTACAAAGGTCAAGAGAACGTGTAATGTATTTCCAAAGTTAAGAGCCACACGTAATGTATTAACAAGATCAATATAATATGTAATATATTAACAGATCAATATAATATGTAATATATTACCAAGGTCAGGAGAACACGTAATGTATTTCCTAGGTTAAGAGGCACACGTAATGTATTACCAAAGTCAAGAGAACATGTAATGTGTTAACAAGGTCAAGTGAACACATAATTTAACATTGACATGTAACATATTGATCTGTACTTTAAAAGGGCAGTGTCGTAAGTCTGAACGTGCTAAGCACAAATCAAGTTTTTCAAAGGTCAAAATTAGCATTACGGAGAAACTGTATTAAATACGTTTATAGTTACGACACCTTGTAGACAGTGATATAGTCGCTAATAATTTCAAGGAAGTGATAATGTATTGTTCGCAGGGAAGTAACTGCTGTGTAATTTCACTGACTGTGGAAGTAATTGATGTGTAATTTCACTGATTATATAGTGTCGGATTGGCTGGGCAGGTGATGGGAGGTTTTGTGGACCAGATAAAGACCTGGACGGCTGGCCAGACACTAATCTTCCATGTCCAAATCCTCACTGTAAAGCTGTAAGTACAAGGAGTTTAGTAAATATGAAATTTGTTTTAAGGTTCTTCTTCCTTTACGTCAAGCTGTATTTCTCGCAATTCTTCAAACCTTTCTGTATCTGGCTTAATAGTGATAAATGACGATCTTGTTAATAAAATTTGAAAGACATCTTTGTTTTTTTTTACTTTCTGGTCAACAGTAATTTAGAAAGCAGTTACGTGTATTTAAGAAGTAAACGGATTCCTTTCTTTTTCTCTCACGAGGTTGTTCTTTAATGGTAAACTTTAAATTTTTTGAAGCGTTCTTATTCGAGTGTATTACAGAGCTCGGTACCAAGCTGAACTTTGCAATGTTTGTTTGTTATTAAGCATAAAACTACACAATGGACTTTCTGTGTCGTGTCCACTGCGAGTATCGAAACCCAATTTTTTTCTGTTATAAGCCCCGAAACTTGCCGCTGAGCCAATGTTAAGAAAGTATTTTAAAATATATGAAAGCTTTCTAGAAACATTCAGCCACTACTAAAGACACACACATACACATATGTAAATTGATTAATTTTTCAACGATATCCTAAACCTGCTGTTAGACAAATAAAATTCTAAACCTCATTTTCCATTAAAGAAAACAAAAATCATATAAACTGGAATAAAATATAAACATTAAAGACGAACAACTCTTTCAGAAATCGAACTGGTGTATTTAATTGTTTTACATCCACTCCGAAACTAGTCTGGCTCGCAGACACACACACCCCAATGAAAGAATAGACCATTTCAAGCTTTTATTCGTTGTTAAACAAATGTTTAAACAACTTTATTCTTTCAGAAATCATTATCATTATTCAAACGTAATATTAAATGTTTTGTGGGGGGTGGGTGTAAAATGCACTCTAAAAAACGTAGATTTTCAAATAGTAATCTAATCCTGTTTGTTTATTTGTAGTTAAATACAAAGCTACTCAATGTGCTACTTGTGCTGTGTCCACCTCGGGTATGGAAACGCGAATTTTAGCGTTATGAGCCCTCAGACCCGCCGCTGAGGTACTGGAACATTAATTCTGCTAATGTAAGAAGTAATTTGAATTCTTAAAAGTCCCTATTTTCTGTGTTACAGTTTTCTAAATGTCTGTCTCTCTGAGGGTTAATCACACTTTATAAGAACGATATTTCAGGTTCTATAGTGTTCTTGAAATTACTTTCTTTATCGTAGATCGTGCTCAGTCTGGTGGGAATGATTGTGCGCTGTTACCTTACAACACGGTTTACATTCTTTTGATGTTGCCCTTTTGTTAACGTAAAGCTACACAGTGAGCTGCTATCTGCGCACTATCAACCACAGGGAATCAAACTTCTAATTTTAGCGTTGTAAATCCGTCACATTACCGATGACACAACTGGGAACCTTTAAACTGTAACAAGCTTTTGCGAAGGACTACGAGATCAGTCTTAGATTAACACTTCTTAAATGTTCCACACACTCGGTCGCGGTACTTAGATACCGGCATTAAATTCCACATTTAAGCAGAAAAAAAGCACAAAGGTTCATTGGAACTGGGTCAGTGGACTGGACATATATGTGATAGAATGGGATTTGACTTTTTTATCTATCGTTCTCTTGAATACAGCTGCTGATTTTAAGGTGTGGCAGGAAGCTTGTGAACTTTTGGTTTAGGATCGTTCGCCAATTTTAAATCTTTGTTTATTATCTTGTTAACAGTATCAACAGATATTCCAGTTTATTTAAATCCTTGGTTATTATATTGTTAACAGTACCAACAGATATTCCAGCTTTATTTAAATCCTTGTTTATTATATTGTTAACAATACCAACAGATATTCCAGCTTTATTTAAATCCTTGTTTATTATCTTATTAACAGTACCAACAGATATTCCAGCTTTATTTAAATCCTTGTTTAGTATCTTATTAACAGTACCAAGAGATATGCCAGCATTATTTAAATCCTTGTTTATTATCTTGTTAACAGTACCAACCGATATTCCAGTTTATTTAAATCCTTGGTTATTATATTGTTAACAGTACCAACAGATATTCCAGCTTTATTTAAATCCTTGTTTATTATATTGTTAACAATACCAACAGATATTCCAGCTTTATTTAAATCCTTGTTTATTATCTTATTAACAGTACCAACAGATATTCCAGCTTTATTTAAATCCTTGTTTAGTATCTTATTAACAGTACCAAGAGATATGCCAACATTATTTAAATCCTTGTTTATTATCTTGTTAACAGTACCAAGAGATATGTCAGCTTTATTGCATTGGCTTGCTATGTCGAAAGGTTCTATTTCGGAATTCCATGTATCGGTATGTGGCTGAGGATGGTTCTTCAGACTGATTTAGAGTTTGGATTTTTTGTACGAGTGTTACCGTTTCCATGGTGAACATTGACGTTCTCTTCTTTCGAAATATTGTGGTTTTTGTCTTATATCTTTGACAATCTTACTATACAAATCCTATTCAGCGAAAAGCTTTGTGACAGGATGCGAAGGTCGGAAATACGCCTTAATCCTAATATATATCTATTAAATGAGACACCCGTGACATCACTACTAACATCTACAGCTAGCTACTTGCCATTACATTAGCATATGCAAATCATTCTTATAAAGCGCAGTTAACCCTCTACATACATAGCGATTCAATAAGTTTTTTCAAATTATTTGACTTGAATATATCTTTATTGGACTATGTAGGATAACTGCCCTAATACGCCCAACAGTGGCCAAGAAGATGCCGACAGTGACACTATAGGCGACGCCTGTGATGAAGACGCAGACAATGACGGTATTATTAACAATCCGGTGAGTTTGTGAATGGGATTAAATTTCAAAAAGGTTTTCTTTTGTTAAATGTTAGTGTCTGAAAGATGAAAAAATAATTAGATTCGAATAAAGGTAATATATGTGACTATTATTTACTATGTATTGAAAAATGAACGTTTACAAACCGAGAACTCAATAAATAAAGTCTACAAGGAACGAAATAAGTTCAAGTTAGCTATAGTGGCAACATAACAAAATGAGAAGTATATTCTTGTGGTTGTTTGCTTACAATATGTGATCACATGAACATTTCTCTTGTGAATATTAGTATATGTGATCACATGAACATTTCCTTTGTGAATATTATAAATGTTATCACATGAACATTTCCTTTGTGAATATTAGTAAATGTGATCACATGAACATTTCCCTTGTGAATATTAATAAATGTGATCACATGAACATTTCCTTTGTGAATATTAGTATATGTGATCACATGAACATTTCTCTTGTGAATATTAGTATATGTGATAACATGAACATTTCCTATGTGAATATTAGTAAATGTGATCACATGAACATTTCCCTTGTGAATGTTAGTATATGTGATAACATGAACATTTCCCTTGTGAATATTAGTATATGTGATCACATGAACATTTCCTTTGTGAATATTATAAATGTTATCACATGAACATTTCCCTTGTGAATATTAGTAAATGTGAGCACATGAACATTTCCTTTGTGAATATTAGTATATGTGATCACATGAACATTTCCCTTGTGAATATTAGTAAATGAAAATTTTAATGATAATATAAATTTCAGTTCAATTTTAAGTATTAACATTTTATTCACCTATTAATAGTTGAAATCGACAAAACAAACAAACAAAAAAAAACGACAAACATTTTGTTTGAAATAGGACAACTGCCCTCTTGTGGCAAATCCAGAACAAAGCGACACTGATCCAGATGGCGCTGACAGACTAGGTGATGCCTGCGATAATTGTCCTACCGTTCCAAATCCTGATCAAACTGATACCGATGGTGACGGAATAGGTGATATCTGTGATGAAGATGCAGATAGTGATGGTTAGTTTTATTTATTTAATCCCACATTTAATCGATTATACAGATTATACAGGATAGATTCCTTTATTTAATCCCACAGCTAATCGATTATACAGGTTACTTTCTTTTATTTAATCCCACAGTTAATCGATTATACAGGTTAGTTTCCTTTTTAATCCCACAGTTAATCGATTATACAGGTTATTTTCCTTTTTCTAGTCCCACAGTTAATCGATTATACAGGTTAGTTTCCTTTTTTAATCCCACAGTTAATCGATTATACAGGATAGTTTCCTTTATTTAATCCCACAGCTAATCGACAGGTTAGTTTCCTTTTTTTTAATCCCACAGTTAATATATTATACAGGTTAGTTTCCTTTTTTAATCCAACAGTTAATCGATTATACAGGTTAGTTTCCTTTTTTAATCCCACAGTAAATCGATTATACAGGTTAGTTTCCTTTATTTAATCCCACAGTTAATCGATTCTACAGGTTAGTTTCCTTTATTTAATCCCACAGTTAATCGATTATACAGGATAGTTTCCTTTATTTAATCCAACAGTTAATCGATTATACAGGTTATTTTCCTTTATTTAATCACACAGTTAATCGATTATACAGGTTAGTTTCCTTTATTTAATCCCACAGTTAATCGATTATACAAGTTAGATTTATTTATTCAATCCCACAGTTAATCGGTTATACAGTCTTCCATTTCCTAAGAGAGTAGTAAACATGAAAAGAAATGAAAGCTATAAACTTCAGATGAATAGATAAGATTCTTTGGTCCCCACTATATAGGATTTTATTGTTTCCGTACGGTATTCATGACCAGGTCATTAAAATAACTCCATATTATAGAATTAGTGTTAAAACTGTTAATTATTTGGAATTAACTGAATAATGCTTGGAGACGGCTTGAATGGTTAATGAAGAAAAACTTTAATATAAGTTTAACATAACAACAAATGTACAACGTTTCGACAAGGTTTTATCATCATCAGGTACAGGTAGTTTACACTGACACAGATATATGTACCCAACGTGGTCACAAGTAAATAGACACCACCTTTTCAGAAAAAATAAAATGTTCAGTCATATTCACATGAATTGATATATTTATAATGTAATTAGTATCTAGTAGATCTTCCTTTCGCTTCGTGGAGTTCGTTGATCCTTTGGGGCATCGTGAGAATCATCTCGTCAATTTTTAATTGTGGGATTTTCGCCCACTCTTGCTTTAAAACTTGGAATAGATCGTTCTTCGAAGTTGTTTTTTGTTGTTGTTGTTGTTTCTTGACTTGCCAGTCGAGTATTGCCCAGAGGTTTTCGATGGAGTTCATGTCAGGAGATTGGTTCGGCCAGGGCAACTTCTGGATACCATTTTCTTCCTGCCACTTTTGGGTGTTTCTAGCAGTGTGACATGATGCTTCATCTTCTTGGAACAACGTTGTGTTATTGTCCACGAAACCCGAGGAATAAAGTGGCAAGAGTACTTCCTCCAATATTTCGACGTATTTCGCAAAATTTATGTTGCCAACGCACTCCACTAAGCTCGATATCCCACCAACCCAAACAGCTCCCCAAACCATCACGCTGAAACAATCATGCTTCACAGTTGGTTGCAATCTGTTGAGCTAAAACTCTTGATGAGGCATTCTCCAGACCCTTATCCTTCCACTGTCCGAAAATTGA